ATTAATCTAATGTGCAAGGGGCAAGTCAATACATTTCACATATGAAAGACTTCTGAACAAAAATGTCTCTGGACAATTTAATTATCTGTTGATGTTTTGTTGTCTCCTAAAAAATTACTAAAGATGGCATAACATGATGCCAACCAAGTACAAGGTAGCTAGAAATATTTTTCCTAATACCATGAGAGGAGCTAGTCCTTCGACTGCTGACAGCCATCTCAGCAGTTAGCTAGGAGAAAGATGACAGCACCAGAAAAGGGTTGCATAACAGGAACTATAGCTAGCTGGGTTTGAAAAGCATAACAAACAATAATTTTTCCCATTGGTTGTTGTTTTATGGCACCTGTGCATCACACGACTGGGTGGCCAATTATGTACTGAAGGACCAGATCTGAGTTAACTATGATCTAACTAAGCTAGTTAACTAAAACCCTGAAAAAGTCCTCCATGGTCAGATTTTATTTGAAGGAATTGCAGTCATATCCATATTGAATGTCTGCATGGATTACTGCTTTCTGAGTTGCCTTCATTTGGCCAATTTTTGAAGGCTGTTTATCAATCTCTTGGTCTGATGTCATTATGTATGCTGCCTCTGAGACCAGTCTTGAACCATCTGAATACACACCTTCAGGGGCAGGATTATGTTTTTCTGAGGAAAAAATGGCATCAATGTGAGGTTTCATTTTTGGCATCCCATCAGATTATCTGCTGCAGATAAATGCTTTTTAAAAAAAATTACCCTCCCTAATCCTGTCATGGCCAGTTCACAACCATCAGTTTGGCCACTCCTGTCACAAAACAGTCATCAACCGTGGAGGCTGAAGCCTACCACATTCGTTTCAAAACACATGAAACCAGCCAACTGCATATTTTCAAACTGATGCTTGTGCTGTGTCACAGAGCAGCAAAACACATAACCCACCCACTTCTGTATACGTTAGCTCACAAGTACCCATGACTGGCTAGTTTTGCTGTGATTGCCAAGGGAAAGAGAGAGTACACCATCATGCTCCCCCAGAAAGCATGGCCAATTTTGCTCTCTTGGCCTCTTTGCCAAGGATGGCTGTGACAAATAAATGTTTTAAGACAGATTATTTTGGACTTTTATAGAACCAAGCACTACAGAACCATTAATAATGGTATGAAGAAGTGGGGCTGGGGCTGATATCTTTATCACTTTATTTGCAGCCTGTGAGGGATAATCGTGCCAGGTGAATGCAATCATTGGTGTAAGGGCCGTAAGTGACGTGGATTATCTGCTCTGTCATTCTTTTTTTTCTACAGAAAGCATTTGGACACAAAGGACAAATGACAGAACCGTAAGTTAATTGTATAGTCTTCTACTGTTTTTTTCTTTTTCTTTTTCCCCCCAGGTTTGAACAAAAGGGTTACAGCTTTTCTGTTTACCTACTTTGGGATTCAGAGAGCATTATTACTTGAAACACTTACATTTAATAAAAAAATTGAAATTACTCCTCCCATATAATATCATGACTATCTGTCACTATGTATGTCAATAACTCTCAAAACATTGCCTCACTTGAGCCTTGAGACAACTTCAAGAGAGCTGCCTTTTACTTTGGACACAACCCATCGCACAACTCCACAACATTAGCTAAAGACTCTACATCAATGTTAAGTCGGCCAGCTATCGATCATCTTGACAGCTAGGGATGTATGAGGGTGAGTCAAATGAAAACCTTAAAATGTGACATAAATTAGAGAAACTTTGTGGTTGCAAAAGAAAAATGTATTACTGGTCCACTGTTCTCAGAATCCCCTTCGACTGTTAACAACCGGATACACTTACTGACAGCTATTTGCAATAAACAACAGGGGAAAAAATGTTTCATTGGACTCACTCTTGTAAATTATAGCACAAGTTACCTGATCAGCAATAAATAAAGATAACTCTGCATCACTCTTGTATTTGGAATTATTGCTAATAAAGCACAAAGCAGGTCACTCTTTTTTTCCCTTTCGTTTTTTTTGCTTACAGGGATTTTTTAAAAACACATTAACCACATGGTGACACCCACACAGGATAGCGGAGGTTGTGCAGCAGTGCAAAATCCCAATGCTTCAGTTTTCTTTTCTATAGTGACTGAATAATATTACCTCTTTCATTTTTAATTACTTTCATATTACTGAGTGCTTGGAGGAATAAAGAGGAATGTGTAAAGGGTTCTGCAGTTTACCCAAACCCAGGAAGGTGCTGGAGGCTGACTGCACCCACAAATACTGGTGTTTTAATTATAATAAAAGAAAAAAGCACTTAATTTAAAAGCCAGTCGGCCTGCTTTGCAGCTGGAGTTCTGTACTGAGTAAAGTCGAGGGTCCCGAGGGAGACGTTAGTGCCGTGCTGAGGAGTCAGTAGTCTGTTAGTGGAACTTTAGCAACATGTTAGCAAAGCCTTTGAAGTCCAGCAGGGTTTCCTGACTGGATTTGGTACATGGTGACACACAGGCCTAATTGATTACTTCCTATTTCCCCTCCCAGCAAGTTCCAAATGTGATTATGTGAAAAGATTAAGAAAAATTATCAAGTTAAAAACAGCTCACTAGGCACACTAGTGCAAAGGTGAAACGACATTTTCTGCCAATTATTATAATTCAGTTACAGGCTCCACTCTAGAGAACAAACGTATAAAAATAACCTAACAGAATTAAAATACAGACTAAAATAAATGCACAAGCTCTCATTCATAATGTTAGTGTATTTATTTTGGGACCTTGGATTTCATCTTGTTACAGTAAAGTAATAATATGCATGAAGCAATATTCTGGTTCAGACAACTACACACCAACTGTTTTTACACTCTGACTCTGTTTTTATGAATGCTGTAACACCCAGTAGCTGGAATAAATAGGATGGTGCTTTGACATTCACATGTACAGTATAAACAATGTCACAAATTGCACGCAAAGTTCTTCAACCGAGTGTCGTCATCCCCCCCCCCAATCAAAATGTCTTAATCTATCAATCAGACATGGCCACATGTATAATTGGTATAAATAGTAAAATCAGTATTTTTTTTTAAGGAACAAGCAAAGAACATACAGTAACTTGGTGTAACAGGGTCAAAGAAACAGACATTAAGACCACATGACAAAAACGTTTCCCCTTTAGCAGATGAAAATGCTTCATTACCAGTTCTAAAATTTACATGTAGCGTATTTGATAGAACAGACCTACATCTATAGACGGAGTGTTTCAGCTCCCAGAAATTTCTCAAGAGTAAACCATATTATAGCTGGGTAGCTTTGCAAATCATCCATTTTTAAGATTTGCCCAGGGGATCCGTTCATTTTAAGCATTACTCTAACACATTCACCTAACTGATACTGATGTGCACTAACATTAAAGAGCTCTTCATAAACAGTATGACTGTGAATGACTTACACTCACACAAAAATGTACAGAAGCAGAAAACGTATGTCAGGAGTGAAATACTGCAAACTAATAATATTGTAGTTGTAGCAGATTTCCATTGTGATGGTGCTTTCAGCGTGGGTGGTCTGCTGTTGCTTATCTTTTCGGTCGGTCAATGTCATCAATAGCTGCGAGGAGTTTCTGTCTGGCCTTTTTGTTGATGTGGGAGCCGAGGCAGACGTTGACCAGGTTGGCCAGCTGCTTCATGGAGTATTCCTGCTCAAACACAACACACTGCTTAAACCAACAAATACATTTCTGAGTGGTGAAGACCTTCATTCATAAGCCAGAGAAGAAAGCTGTGTAAGACTTGCATACATACTGCAATTATGTGCTGTTTTTAAAATCGAACTAGTGTGGGGATTGTTTTTTTTTTTTTTTTAATTCGGTTCTGTCAATCACACTCAGTGTGATTGATAAGGTGAATAATGGATGTAAATTACTTCTGCAGTTCATGTAAGTGTTTTCTTTCTAGTGCCGGGTGCCAGCAGTTTCAGTAATTCAGATAGCTATACTGATGTATGGAAATACATCTGCACCCGTCACTATTGTTTAAGTTTAAGCTTTTGAATGAGCAGATGGAATTCACTGCACTTTCTCCTGGGTTTTATAATTAGTTTTAATATAATTTGTCAATACGCGACTTGAAATATCTCACCATGAAGAATGAAAATTTTGTTATTAGTGCATGTTTCCACGGTCAGACCAACAACCAACCAACCCTGAATGAATGCTGATGGAGAATCCACACTGGCCATTTATAAAAACACACACATCCTGCCACGTCTAATCATTATTTGCCCTCAGACTGTAAAGGAAAGTTTACAGTGCAAAACAAAGTCCATAACATTACCAACTGTCACTATAATTTAAAAAAGAAACTGCGCTTACCCTGTGGTTCTTAATAAACTGCTCCATGTCATTCTCAGTCAGGTAGTAGGCTTTAATATAGGTCTCAACAAACTCCTTATCAGGGATAGGTCTGAGGTCGGTGAGCTTCTCCAGCTTCATGAGGAACTGCTGGAAGTCCAGCTGCATCAGTGCCCGGCCCTCGTTACTGCACTTCTTTACATTAGCATAGCTGGCAGATAGCAGAGAAGAGAATTGTGAGCTTCACACACACATACTGGACCGCTTAGTGCATTCATTAACGTTGCACATTTTCACCAAAATCCCCATAGTATAGTATAGTATAGTATTCTGTAGCATATTGTTGTGCTTTAACATTCAGACTACACGTGTATATCATGGGGAGAAAAACACATCACTTAAAATTGGGATTTTAGACAAAACTTTATTAGATTAAGTAACACATATACAGGGGTGGAATATATTTGAGTAGTACCTTATGAATATACTTTAGTATTATTAGGGGGGATGTATACTTGCATCCATTTTCTGTACTGCTTATCCTACACAGGAGACTTGGGGCACAAGGCGGGACACACACACACACACACTATGAGCAATTTGAAAATGCCAAGGAGCCTACAACGCTTGTCTTGGGACTGGGGGAGGAAACCGCCAGAGAAATCCACTGAAGCATGACGAGAACATCTGAGCACACAGGGCAGAGGCGGGAATCAAACCCCCAACTTCAGAAGTACGAGGCAGACATGCTAACCACTAAGCCACCATGCCGAACCAGGATTTATACTTTGCTTGATTAAATGTATAATTACAAATACTTGTAATCTTTCATACATTTAACTTCAAATCACTCATTACAAATCTTGAAAGTCTCCTCTTCTCTCATACAGCCAATGGCAGTATGCTGCACATCACCTGAATGGGCTCATTTTTAGCATCCAGTCATTTCAGTTTAGCATCTCTTTTAAGTTAATCAATGTGCACTTGGCCCTACCTCAGTAAAATGTTCCAATATAATTTAGTAAGCAAAGACTCAATGGATCCCATCTCATTTGAAAAAGCATATTGAGGTAAGTTTTGCAAATTTGCTTACTTTAACTGGATAAACATAACCAAGTTATCTTGTTTTCTTTGCTAATGACAGGTTAGACTAGTATTGATTCCAGTAGCTAACAATTTGCAAGACAGAAAGTCAAATTCTTATTAATTTTAAATATTACAAGCTATGTAGTGACTGAGTGCTGTTTTCAGTCAAAATTACATAGTTGCTTCAAAAACAAAAAACATCTAACAGTTTTAGATAGGTAATAAAATGTTACAGCATTTTCTCAATGAAAAAACCCCAACTTAATTTCATCAGTTAAAAACATTGACTTTATATTCTTTAATTCTAGAGAAAAATATCTTCTTTCAAACTGCATCAGAAGATTTAATAATAACTAAAATACTCTAAGAGAAGGTAAATCAACCAGTTTCCATAAATTAATCAACAGATAACATTTACATGTAATATCAGCATTAATGTTTATTTCTACTAGTTTCATCTTAACCTTCTAAACTTAAAAAAACTATTTATTCCAAGATATATTATTTCGCACAATAAAACCCACATAAGACATTTTTAAACAAGCACACACATTTCTGAGCACAACACTGCTGTTCTACAATAGTGTGCCATTTTGTTTTCAGGTGTGGTGAAAACCTTATTAACCAGTATTGTACAGATTACTGGTTAATGTCCTGTTATTCACAGGACAGATGGCTCACATGATCTCAACCTGTCACAGAAGAGCAGTTAATAACGCATGTCAGATCAAAAAGCTGCACATAATAGTCAGCATTTTGACATCCAAACAGTGAAACTGAAGAAAAATGCCTGTACTACAACAATAAAAGATAAAAGACCATGACAAATTCAATATGAATTATATATATATATATATATATATATATATATATATATATATATATATATATATATATATAAATAAAAATCTAAGATGCAGCCAAGAACTCTGCTCTGGGTGGAGTTGTTCCCCGCAGTCCTGGAAGCCAGACTTCTAGGTACATTGCCATTAATCATGGCCAAAAATTGCCTTCTTTCACAAGAAGCCTCCTTATAACAAATGGGCAAACACACAAGGCATTTCCTCCCTGCTGCTTTGAACAAAACTCAGGATTAACTTTATTTACTCAGGATTGACATGACGCTGTGAACCTTTGTTCAATCCGATGACCATATCTTGCTCAGAAAATCTCATCTTGCCAATGTTCAAAAGTTGGGTTTCTTATTGGAAACACTAGTGTATGTAAATACATATATACTAAGCTAAAAATAGCCAATCACCTTTAATATTCTGAACCTTAAGGCTAGAAAAGTTCACAAAAAGATATGGGATGTTCCACTCACAGCCAACTGTGCATTTGATATCTTTTGTACACTTTTCTGGACACATGCTTCAGAACCTTGAAGGCTGCAATGTTACTTTAAGTTGTCAGTGTTAAAAATTTCTCACTGGATACCTTACGCTGGTGTACATGCAAATACAGTGTGTCCCCAAAGTCTCCATACATGGGGGAAATTAACACTTTTGAGCAAAATGTCTTCCAAAAGTTCACATACTTAGTTTATATTACATATATTTGTTTCAGATAGCGTTTAAGAATGCCAGAGTGTCTGTAGCTGTAGGTTTCATGTAATCTATATTGTATTTAGGGACAGTGCAGCACTTGCAGGAGAGCCTCAGAGAACAATTGACTACTGCTTGTGGACCTTTTGCAAATATTTTGCACTTTTGTGACATTTATTCACACCATGTAAATGTCAGCTTCTCCGATCTGTAAATATTCAGATTCAATATCAGCCTGAGTTTGATGAGTAAAAGACATCAGAAGGCTTTAAAAAACAAACAAAAAACACTACTTCTGCAGTCCACATGTTTAAAAAAATGTTATAGTTCTGCCACATACAGAACACACACAGCCTGGAACACACACAGACTGGCAGCACAACATCTCAAAAACTAGTGTGTACTTTCTGAAGGGCAGTGGTACATCTGATTACTGTCACACAATGCTAGTATGAGACACACCAAGTACATCTGCCTTCCTCCTCATATCTCTGCATGTCCTGTCAGACAGCAGCTGTGCTGACATGCTGAGGAAGTAAATAAGCTTGAGTCCACTTAGACTGAGAAAGACACACAGACTCGGTGGACAGTGAACAATGGGTAAAGATGTCATTGGAGCAGAACAGCTGTCTGGGAATTATTGCAGAAATACACACCATGACAGCCAGCAGGTCTGTTGTAGCAGGAAAAAACAAAACACTCAACCTGATCTCATGAGAAATTGTATGAATTATAATGAACAAGGGCAATATGGCTTGTATGATATGAAAAGGATGAAAAGGCACAAGCGTTAACTCCGTACTGTCTTTCAAAGACGACTTGAGTCTGCAAGCGGGAAATCAAAAAAATGACTTCCAGTATTTAACTGGATACGAAACATCTATAATTAAAATGAGATTTAAAACTGTAATAAAATATACAGAAAAACTATAATAAAGCAAACTTCTAATTTATGGTCAAATTGCAGAAAAAAAAGGTTTTGCATGAGATTTGCATATTCTCCCCAATGTCTGCATGAGTTCCCTCTTCATTCTCCAGTTTCTACCAAATTTTGTGTGTGGGTGTACTAACATCCTTGAGTCTCAACAGGAAAAAAATGGTTCTTTTTCCATTCAAAAAATAATTAATGAAAAAACAAATAAATTAAATAACACACTTTTTGTGTGCAAGATGGTGGATGAAACTAAATGAATTCAGAACCAGAGCCAATCCAATTATGATTGGGTGAATTTGAGGGCACGAAGCTTGCAAAGTTTGGCGAAAGCATGCGTATGTAATGGACCACAGGAAAACGCACGGGGCTTCCAATATTCATTTTTATGCTTCTCATTTCTTCAGGAAACTATGCAGTTCTTCCTCTCTCCATGTTCTCACTGGGCCTCATTCATCAATATTTGAGTAAAATTGTGTAAATGTTTGCATGAACCAAACAAAAAATTCACTCCAGATTTACAAGTTTCATAAATGCTGATTTTCTGTGTATTTGCTTGCGTAAATGCCGCAGCTTATTTGAAGCAGAAGGTAAAGTACTTTTGACTCACATCAACAAGAATAAAATATTTAGCAGCTCATCCATGCCTGTAAGTTGCTCTGGATAAGAGTGTCTGCCAAATGCCATACATGTAAATGTATCCAGCTAATATTTAAAGCCGATCAATCAGAGGTAGACAATATTTAGTCTTCTCATGTGGAAACTCAGACACTCATGAACAGGAGCAGAATATGAAAGTTTTCTCTACAACCTTCAGTTTAGATATTTGATGGAAACTTTGTGACATCAAATACTAACACAGTAAGACCTCGACCTTGTGTATGTTCAAATTACACAACAGAAGTGAAGTACATGAAAGCATATTATCTGTACCGAGCACTCAGAGGTTCTGAAGTCTGGCTATGGACATGTGGAGCAGACTAGTGAAAAAACTGAAGAGGAAAGTATAGTGTAAAGAACTTTAACAGCACTGGGGAGTGTGTAACCTCTTTATCACTTGCCAAACCACTCCTTAGGCTTGAAAAATTGGAGCTTTAACTTTGACAAGCAGATGTTTAAACAACTGGATGACAAAAACATCCAAAAATACCAATAAAAAAAAGAAGCTGTCTGAGAGGTGGGAGAAAACGGAATATAGGAGCTGTTTTTCATTCATCACTGCATCTTACCAGAGGCAGTCAATGTCTGAAAAAGCATTTAAAAGAAAGCCCAAAAGATAAGCCTCATATCTTCTCCCAAAAACTCAAACTACACCAGATAAAAAAATCTGACTCAAAATCTAGGTGTGTGTAGGAACAAAACTCTCCACCACTCAAAGAGAGTTTATAAATGTAATATTCCACAGGTGAAATTGTGCATGCTGCCTCAAACTCATTACTTTACAAACATGATATAAGTAGAATCAGCAGCAGGTGATCCTCTATATTATATTTTAATATCAGCTTTTTCCCTCCATATTTTGAAGAATACAGACGGTACAAAAAAAACCCCACAACAAACCTGAAAATCAATCATTCGCTCACTAGACTTTCTTTTTTTCTCTCTCTTGTGAAGTTAATGAGACTAAAAATATTGCTTGTTGTGTTACTGCTATATCCTCTGTGCTGAAAACATTCCTGGAAAGAAACAGTAAAATTGACTCTCTAATGCTCGCTCGCTCTCTCTCTCCCGTGTCAATCACAGAGACACTAGCCTATCATGGGCATTCGTGAGCTCATGTATGTGGAAGAGGGTATACAGTGCTTTCCTCCAAGCATGTTGATGCAGCATGAGCTGCAGATTGGCTACCTTCATGTGGCTTGGAGGAAGACTTTTTTGGTTGTTTTTTTTTAATGCAGTGTTTAGCGTTATATTGTGTGAGCATCCATCATAAGAGTCTCATTTATTATAGAAACAATAATGCATTAGAATGAGAGCATTAATATACACGTGATTGGCCTTGCAGCCATCACTACTGACAGAACCGATCTGACCAAACAGAATCACAAATTGAACATCACAGTGATCTAAAAAGCGTGAACACTCACCCCTCCACTAGAGTTCGGTTAGCCAGACGGATGCAGTGCTCCCAGAGAACGTTTGAAACAGGGAGGGGGATCCGCACTTGTTTGGAAACATCACCAAGCCTTTTATTGAACTCCTCAAATTCC